TTCCACTTCCTTCCGGACTCAGTCCCGAATGTGCTAATCGGGAAAGTGTCGGAAGTGGGGAGCCCTTACTATTGGTCACCTCTTCTTGGTCGCCTCTCCCTTTCCTGGAATTTGGCTAGATGAAGGGTCCTCTCGGGCGTGGTCGTTTTTTCCGATGCGATCGACCAGATGCGGCGCACTTGGAGACAATGCAAGCATTGTCCCAAAGGCCGAGTCCGCACGCAAGCCTGTTGCTTGTTGTTGCACGTGCAGAGTTTTGAGTTGCAGTGAATTTTCAGGAAATGTTTGTACTCGTTAGTTTACGTATATTCGACACTCAGTCAGAATCTACGTCTTCTTGGCAGTAAACACATCAATTTTACCGTACCGGGAAAATATGAGCACGCTTGAAAATAGGCAAGAGTAAATAAGCAAATTATTCACTGGAAATATTTCAGATGTTTTATTGTATTAAAAAGGTCTCTCATTCTCAAACAAATAGGTATTAATTATTTATTGATTATAATACTATATTTCTTATTTCCAAGTAAATTTTGGCCATTATGTACGTAACAAACACTATTATCAATAATTTAGTAGAATAATGGTATAACTCGTTCATTTTTTATTCATTTTTCATTTTTTATAATATATATTATTTTTCATTTTTAAAAGTCTAATTAATTTGCGATTTGTTTGTAATTTATTTTATGTATGTAATTGAAATTAACAACTACATTTACAATATTTTAATATTGCACATATTTATAATGTATCAGTGAAAAATTCCAGATCAATTATTGAAAGTACATTAACTTTTTAACATTAATATTTGGTATATTAGATTTCTATATTTTAATTTTATTATTATTGTTTGCTTGTATTTTCTTTTACTTTTCTATTGTAAACTATTATAATAAATAAAAGTTTAGTTTTATAAAATTAATTAAAGACTATTATATATTATAGATATCCGATTTGCAATATATTTTATCAATAACAAAGTAGAGTTCGACCAAGTAAATAAAAATATTAAAAAAATTTTTTAGAAATGCAATTAATATTATATTTTTTACTAAATTTAAAGTTATAACTATTTCAAGAACTATTTATAATTAAATGTGTACATATACAAAAGTTTATGTAAATAAAATTTTCTTATTTTATATTGATATATAAGTTTTATACTTATACTAGTAAAATAAATATAAAAATCAATTATATAAACGTAGACAATTTTTATTATTTTATAAAATATTTTATCGTAAAATACATTCAATTATTACTAGATATAAATATTCGAATGAAATAATAAATTCTATAATGAATAAATAGAATTAATATGATTTCTTTCAATAATATTAATGTACGAATTAGTATAGTTTTGTGGATACTGATGAGTGAACATGTAAAATAATTTTTCATTAATATATATAAACAAGTAGGTATTTAATATTTTTTGTTCTTTATTAATTTCAAAATATTAATAGTTTAAATTATAATGAATTTAATTTTAACAAAATTTTTTTAACTAATAGAATTTATTAAAAAATAAAAATGAATAAATATCGTAATTACTTTGGAATATTTTAACACAAACACACACAAACACATAAATATATTGCTTTACACCATATCATGCCTCATCAATTATAATTGTTTAAATAAGTGTAATAATAATGATAAATTAGAAAATATGAATAATATTATTAATGTAATAGAGTAAAAATAATTAAATAGATACAACATTTCATTAGTAGCACCTTAAAATATATTACAACTATCTTATCATAATTGAATATTAAAATTATATCAAATTAAATTTGTGGCAAAGACGATAAAACCAGTATAAAACTGAAATCACTTTTTTAGTATAAAAGTATCAAAAAACATATAATTCCAAATACATTAGAAAAGTTGTAATAAATAACGACCGAATAAAAAATAATACAACATAAAAACTTCTAAATTTTGATTAATTTATTTATGTTCTAATTATATTTCTTAATTTTATTTTAAAAGAATTAATTTCATTAATAAAAGAAGTTATTTATTTGTAAAATATATATAAAATATATAAAACTATTTATTTATACTTGTTTGTATTTATGTATTTATATTTATATATTTTATATTAATTTATTTTTTTAATTTTTACATTGTGTAAAATATTTCGCTTATGAATTTTTAAAACAATTGACTATTTATATCGAATATAACAGATCATTTATGATGTCCCAAAATATATAGTATTTGATACAATATTTTAGATTAGCTTATGTTTAAATTACAAACTGATTGATCTAGTCACAAAATGAAAAGTGTAGTTTTCATATATTTTTAATAAAATAAAAATTCTAAAAATGATAAATCAATCTAAATAGTCTAAAGAAATGTTATAAAAGAATTATATAAATGAAATAATTAATATATTTAATTTCAATTATTAGTTTGACTCAATTTATTTATAAATCTTATTAACTAATTAAATTTTTAATGTCAGCTAATGAAAAATAATTACGAATAATGTACTGTATTGTTCATTAATAACAAGCATTATAAAGTATTAAAATGATATTAAATTATTAATATTTTATACCGTCAAGGCTTACTTAGTTTACATTACAAATTTCTTTGAAGTTACATTGATTTTAGACACATTAAGTACTTATCCAGTTGAAGAAACATGATAATGAAAATTAATATTAAGTATATTATAAGAGCAATATTTCTTATCAAAAATATTTCTTGGTTGATTGTATTCATAAATTTTTATTTGTTAATAAATTTCAAATTAAAGTATAATCAAAATAGTTTGTGTTTGTTTATAACTATATTTACAATGTTTTATTTAAAATCCATTTTTAACATCTAAAGAAATTTGAGAATATGAAATTTTTGTTAAAAAATTTTTTTTTTTAATCTTTTATCTTATATTATTAAAAATATAACAGTGATCGTTTGATATGTTTAATTGATGTTAAAATCTTTAAAGCAAAATGGTAGTCAAATTTTTGAATTCTGTATTTACTGATAATTATTATATTTATAATGTTTCAAACATTCGATTTCGTCATAAAAAAATCGGGTTTTATTAATACAATTATCCTGAAGTTGCTTTGTTATCACTTGCAAAATGTAATATACTTGATGTAGATTCTTGCGTATGCCTTCTATAAGTTGAGTTAAAACTCGTTTCATAAAGAATGCTTGCTTCAGCCCTTACTCTTGGAAATCTTTGATCAATAGCAACTCTTCTCGCAACAGGTAAACAATAGCAAAGATATCTATTAAACCTAAAATGAGAGTTCCAAAATATATATTATATATATTACAATAACATAAACAATTTATATATATATCATTATTAATTATTTAGTAAATAATATTTACACTATAAATTATATACTATACTTGAAAATCATTAATATTGATATTTTTATAACAAATTTGTATTTACATATAAAAATTCCAAGCGCGAATAAATATTGAATTATAATTTAATTAATGAATAAATCAGTTTCATGGTTTTAGATCCAATGTATTTTGAAAATGTTGTTAATGCATAATATATATATATATACAGTTAAAATCAGAGAAAAAGTTTAATTAGATCTATTTTTATTAATTGTATTAATGTAATAAATTTAGTAAAAATAAAATAAATAAAAAATTGATTTAAAGATTAAATATCATATTTTAAAACATAAATATTAAAAATAAATATTAAAAACAAAAAATTAAAAGTTTTCAGATTAAGTATAAATAATAAGTTAATAATTTTCAAACTATAATAAATATGAAATGTTAAATATATAAAGTTTTATTAGCTTTATTATATAACAGAAACAGTCATTCACACTTTTATATTAATTTCTATTAGTATACTATAAAATACTGATAATATTATTCAAATATAAATTCAGTATTCTTAATTAAAAAAAAATTACAATAAGTAATTGTAAATAACTTTTTGAAGGTATAAATTTCTATTTAAGTAGAAATTAAGTAAAATTATTTAAGCAAAAATTTTATTTATACTTTTTATATTGCTCGTATATTTTATATTATATATTATTACAAATATTACTTATTATTTTTATTTTATTCGACATTTTAAAGAATTCTTTGCTCAACAAAAAGTTTATTTCGTAAAATGATTTAGAAGACTTTAAAATCAAAATGTATTATTTCAATAGGTATATGCTTATATATATATTTTTAACAGCGATTAATATATGTTTTAAGTAATTGTTACAACTTGTAAAAATTTAATGTATTTTATATCGCCATCTAATATATGTTATCTATTTAACTTTTATGTAACATAATGTGTCTTTTATATTTTTTTTTCATCAGTGTATTATTTTGCAAATAAAAATTAAGATTTATAGAAAGTCAATATTACGTAAAATCAGAGTACAATAGATCCTTTAATATTTAAAAATCTGATATTAATACGTTATGAGATTTAAGAAAGTATCATAATAATTTCTAATGCAGTAAACGAATAAATATCTATACTTTCTTTAATCATATAATAAATTTAACACACTGATTTTATATATATATATATGTATATCAGATTAAAATAATGTCGTGCATTTATAAAATTCATTATTGAATATAATAGTATATGTAAGTCTTAGCTATTTTATGGACTATTTAAATAATTACATTATTATTAAGAATTTGTTATCTTAATTAATATTCTTTCAAAACAATGTTCGGGATTGGAGCATCTTCCAGGAACTTAAAACTGTGAGAAGTATAAGCCGTCTCTTTTGTTTGTAAACATTGATTCTGCAAATTCTCGAATATTCTACGTCTTATTTTCGAGTGTCCTACAATATTTCCGCAATACGTCACGAGGATCCGGAAACTTACAATCTAATACCTCTGAACGACGTGCATACTAACGCCAAGTGTCAACTGCCTCAGAATCCCAAGAGTTCATCGATTGAATTCATCAACAAGAATCATTCCTGTATTTTTAAATTAAACAAAATAAACAGCACAACAAACAAATGTGTTAAATATTGAATAAAAACTCTATCCCTTCCACTTGCCCGCACATCTCTCCCACATAACGCCTCGTGGTCTTTTAATTAATTCTAAACAAACAACAATAATAAAGGTAATATTTTAATTTTTTTTAAATTAATTATTAAAGAAGCATAATATAATATTACATTAAATAGTTATTTTAATCTAGCAAATTTCCTTTCATATTGGTTTATTAAATTTGATAAACTTAGATATTAATGTATTTATTTATTTAATTTCAAATCATTAAATGGGTCTATTTAAATTTTTTTATACAGAAAGATTATCAAAAATCATCTTTGAATATGAATTATTTCATGAATTCTAAGAGTCTTATTTATGTACATTCAAGTTCTGTAAGGAAAAAATCTGGAAAGAATCTTTAAGAAAAGTTGATTGCGGCGGCTGGAATTCAAAGCCTTTCTTATGCTCGACGAATGCTGAGATGAGCTACTGTTTTTTTCAAATTATTTAAATTATGTTTTGTTTAAGTTTTTGTTTGTTTGTTTAAGTTTTGTTGATTGCTTCAAGTAAGAGAGAGAGAGAGAGAGAGAGAGAGAGAGAGAGAGAGAGAGAGAGAGAGAGAGGTATTGTTTTGCAGTGATGAAGGTGCTTCCTTGTGTCCTTGATGCTATGGAATTTACTGTGGATGTTGAGTATTGAGTTTACGCAGATGTTGTAAGGGTGACTAGCTGGTACAAAATAAAGGTGTACCTTATGAAATATCGTCAGCGTATACTTTGGTGATTGTGTATCTGGCGCACTTTTTTTATTACGAACTTGTTATTGCAGATTCTGTTAATTATGCACACGTATGTGTGGTTCGATTGCCAGGCTTGTGGTTGAGTTTCGTAATCGTAATTGATAACTGATACTAGATAGATTAATAATAACAGATGAGTGAGCGAGTAGTAGAATTACAGTGAGCCAGGTGTGTGGCGTCTGAGTGGATGTTAAAAAACAGTGCCACGGTGCGTGGCGCGCTGCTCTTAAATATTCGCGTAGCAGCTTGCAACGCCGACAGCAGTGCCGATGCCTGTTGCTATGCCGAAAATTGTCGTGACGTCAGAGAACGAAGATCTGGAATATTCTAGAAGCATCGAAGGACACAGCCTTGGAATGTTCTAGAAGCTTCATCGGCGCTTCTATGCGGAAATATTGTCGTATATTCTAATTTACGGTGTAGGAAAATTCCCGGATTCGCTAAATCGTGTTTACAAATGTGAGCGTCCGGGAGCTTGTACTTTCCTCAATTTTAAATTCTACTTAAACGGCTTCAATCCCGAACAGTTATATATACTTTGAATAACGTTTAAAATTCAATCTATTCAATACCTTTTTATATAATATGCTATCGTGCTAAAAAAATTATATCAAATATAATTTAAGTAATATATTAAATGCTAGATTAATTAAAAAAAAATAATATCCAGTTTATTAGTTGCATTTTATAATATTAAAAAATATACAATTATTTTTTATTTAAAATGAAATTATTATATTTTTATAATAATTAATCATTGATTTATAAATAGATTTTAAATGCTTTACGTAAGACAATGTATATTTGATATAAACATTTTTATAAGCTAATTTCATTAATAAATTTACTTATAGCTATCAATTTAAATTAATAATGAATACTATTTTTATTAATCGTACCTTCGATTTTACATGAATTTTTTCAAATAAAGTTTGAGTACAATTAAGCTCATAATAATCTTGTATAAAATTGAATATAAATTTTAATATTTTAAGAAAAAGAAGATCAAGATCGATAAGAATATTTTACCTTTGTCTCAATGTATTTATAATACTATCTACATAATAATACACTATAAATGTAGGCGTGATTTTGAGATTTTAAATATTAAAGAAGTTCATTTTATAGTTCAAGTTCGTTTAAACTTAAAGTTTTGTATACATTATATACATAACAGTTTATTTATAAATTATTTATAATCAGTAAATTAAAAAAATTATAATTATTATTATTTATTAATAGTTTATAAAGACGATTAATGATAACTTTACATTGTTGATATACTTAATTATTATAATAGAGACTAGATTTTTTATGAGATTTTTATAATATGCATTTGATACTATTTTAATAAATGAAAATGTCATTTTTTACATAAAATTTAAAAAGTATAATAAATATTTTATAAATATCATAATAAAATTAATATAAATAATAATACTATAAAAATATTATTAAAATATTATAACATCAACAAGCTTCAATATAATAATCATAATACTAATATTAAGATATCCAATAATTACAATTTCTTAGAGAAGTACTTACATCTGCAGAATAAATATTTTATTTAATTATATTTTTTTATTTTTGTTTAAATTAATCGAAATTATTTTAAAATGAAGATTTTGAAGTACAAAAAGTGCATAAATCTGTACATAAATTTTTAATATGAATTAAGCTGCGCATAATTACCAATTGTTAAATAATGCTGGGGAATATTCATGACACATAATTTTTATGTTACACTCACTTTGTAAATTCATTTCAATTTGACATTCAGTATTAAAACATTCAAAATTATTTATACTATAGTATACTCACTTTTTTCGAAAAGTGCTGCTAATAAAATACAATGCAATAGGATTTACACAGCTGTTGATAAAGCTCAAGCAAAAGCCTATTATACGAAAAACATGCCAAAATTCGTTGAAGGCTTCTCGAGATGCAGAGTAAAAGTGAAACCATAGCATAAATATGTGGTACGGTAGAAAGCAGATGAAGAAGATAATTACAAATGCTACCACTATTTTTCCCAACTGAAATCCATAGTAATATTCATTTCAATGTATTAATTCAATTAGTATATATTATGCATTTAATGGTAACAAAAAATAAAATATTAAATGAATTATTAAATTTTATTCATTTTATATTATCAAAACGAGTCTTTTTATACAACCGAATAATTTTTATATTAGTTAATTATTATCTTAAATTTTTCTCGAATATTTGAAAAATATATTTAAATTTCAACTCTTACATTTTTTTTTATAAAACTTTAATTTTGTTATCATAGAATGAATTTCATAGACGAATTTTTTATATTTAACAGTAAAAAAAGTGAAAATTTAAGTTAATTTGGATTTTTAATAATAACTAATAAAATTAATTTTATGAATTACTTTTAATAAAACAATGAAATACGATTTTTCTCTTTTATTTAACCTTTTTCCGTGCCCGTATTTGTTCATATTGACGTGGTGCTCCCGGTTGTTCTCCTGGTATATTTCTTGTTGAGAGTTCCAAATGATGAGCCATACCCAAATAAAATCCTGATATTATACAAAGTGGTATTGCGTAATAAATAAGAAATTTTAAAAGTACTATACTCTTCTCATAACACGGACCTTTAATTAATAAATAAAAAAAGGTGCTATTATCTTTTTATTCATTATAATTTTGAGAAACATTATTATTAGACCCATTATAAGAATCAAAATAATATATCTCATTTTTACAGTTAAACTTAGTAAATATATTAAACCTTTAAGAAGAATTTGTGATGATTTAAACAAACTTCTAGTTAGAATTATTGGCATGCAGGAATTTAAGATTAATAATTTTTTAAACTAATTTGACAGGTACAAAAGACGTTTCTTATCAAAGTAAAAATATATAAATATTTTACAATTCATCATATTATACACAAACAGATAATATTATATTAAATTAATATTATATTAAAGAAGTATAATAACTATAAAATTGATAATTAGTAATGAAATATAAGATTTGGCAGAAAACTTCAGGTACAATTTATTAAAGATAAAATATTACTATTTCTTGTAAAAATGATATTTATATTTGATTCGTACAATAAATTGAATTTAATTTTTACTTCACTAAATCTGACTTCCGTATTTAAAACATTTTATAATTTATTTTGATTCGTATAATTAAATAATATTGTGTTAATATTGTAGAAAAGTTTTATAACTTCAGAGATACAAATAAACATAATTTCCATATTTACGTGCATATTAAATAACATATAATAAAATTTACCTAATGTTTAAATTATATTATTGTTGATATACACTTATTTATATGAAGTAGTTTAAGCTAATTTATATTTATAAGATTATTGATTTACTTCATTTGTACCTGCAATACTAATTTTTGATACTTTATGTTTTAATATTTTATCAAAAATATGCGAAACTGCAATTTATTACAAGATGTTATATGCGAGTGATAACGGCATCCTATTGTCTATCATGAAATTACTTTTAAAATTGTGGAATCAGAATAAACTTTATAAATAATAAGCTTTTTTAATTAGTATTGAAATGCAAAAGAATAATTTGTTCTTAAATCACATATAGCCTTGATTTTTATTGAAAATTATGTCAATCATACATTTTAATTTAAAGAGTTTTAATAGTTTTTCATTGTATACTAAAAATTTAGAACATATTATTAAATATTATATACATTTAAATAATACGAATTTCTTTTTATATATTTACAAAATATATTTGATATTTTTAAAAATGAAATTGTAAAGCTTATACAGTGATCTATATTTATTGATATAAAATATTTATAATCCAATCCATACTATTAGAAAGTACTTCTGTTCACGATGTTGGTTATTGATGATATTTTTACGTAATTATAGAGCCATACGAAAAAATATGTTCTGTACATTAAGAATACTAAAAATATGTGATCTCTTCAAGATTTTTATAATTTAGTAAATAATCCGTAAGGATTCAGTGGAATCTTCTTTAATGCTATGGATTTTTCGAATATTGATTAACGCGAATCTTGAATCTGAAATGAACTTTTCGTCAATTTCATTTGCCGCAGTGTTATATGATTACCGGTTTTTATAACCATGAAGGTACCATTAACGAAACAAATTTCTAGAACTTATTTAAGAAAGCCTGCTTTTGCTCACCGACTACTCAAATATGAACTTGTTATTAATAACCCCAATGTTACTAAATAAATATCAAAGATATTATCAAAGATATTATCAAGAATGTTAGATTGAGCGAGATACAATTTATCAGAGTAGTTGTTTGAAAATATAGTGACTGAGCTCACAATGTAGCTGTATGTTAGGATTGCCATTAGCTAGCAGGGTTAGTCTCTTTACTGAATTATGAATTCCCATCGAATACTTGTAGATATCGAAAATTATCTTTTGCTTTAAAATTAGCAAGGATCTTTATTACGAATATTAGAAAAAGATCTTTATGCTCTACTGATTGTACTAGTTTCTTGACTGTTCCATTCTTTTCAGAGTTTATTATAATAGTATCTAACACAAAAAGAGTATTTCGACGTGATCACATTATCCCTATACTTTGAAGTGTGATGTGTTTAACCAGATTCTTATAACATATACATAGTACATGTTATAAGATGTATGTAATTTAAATATGATATTTATAATGTTTGAAAATACAGTTTTTAAATCAATTCAATTAAATTATTGTGACAGATAAAATCAAAGAAATTATAGTATATAAATAATAGCATAATAACATAGATTTAAAAATTTTAAAGAAAATAATCAACAAGATTTATTCATGAATTACTGTAATTTTTAATTACATTATAAGATTAAAATTTAGATAATAAAATAAAAATCTAGTAATTTAGTAATATAGTAAAACTGATTCATTAATTTATTTTGAGTCTTAAATTATTGGAATAACCATAAGAATACATGTTAATTAAAAAAAATAAAATACCATTAGTGAAAATTTTTTATTTAAATATACGATTTAAATTATAATGTCTAAATGGTGCTTAATTTCCATATTAAAAAAAATAAAATATAAGAAAGAAAATAATTTATAATATATAAATTAATATATATTATATATTATATAATATATAAATAATATAATATATAAATAAATATAATATATAAATCTTTAATAAATGATATATTATTACAATATAATTTAGTACTATTTTAATTCTAAAAAAAGAAAGAAATACTCTATACCTGTAGGTTAATATACACATAATAATTAGTCTAAATATATGTTGTCATTCAACATAAATAATAGAATATGCTTGAAATATAATAATTCTTCATAATTTTCTAATTAAAATACGTTCGTAAAGTAAAAACAAAGATTATAAGATTTTAAATATATTATAAAATATGTCACGATATTTTTATATAAGGCACCAACTATATTTATATATTTATTTCATATTATTGTATTAATTAAATTATATTAATTCAATATTATCAATTATGTTCCAGTATATCAATAAAACTGTATTATGTTAATAATATTACATTATATTAATTAATTTGTTGGACCGTTTGTACATTTAATATGAGTATGTAATTTTTAAAAATCAAATTTATTATTATTTTTTTTATTTATAATCATCGTTATTCAATACAAATTTTATTATAAAGAAATGATATTAGGTTTTATTTTTATTAATATTTAAATTACATAAAGTTTAGTTTTATAATGTGTTCGACAATAGAGCAATTTGACCTTTGTAAGAGAAATTCACGACACAAGTTACATTTATCCTGGATTCATATGAATAATTAATGAAAATTATTACTAATAGTAAGAAATCTGATTTCTAAATAAAAAATTGTGTTGGTATCGCATGAATAATAGGTTAATTGTAAAAAAATACATTTATAATTATAATAGCTTTGTTTAAAATTTATACTTATGATTAATGTTTTGTATTTTATAATCTAATTTCATATTCTTATATCAGAAATGATTTATAATATTGTGTTTATATATGGGAATTGTATTTGAATATTTATATGAATTATAACAAATAAAAATTTGAATTGTTTATATATAAAACGTCTTTAATTTCAGTGAGTCATTATTATTTCTTTATTGGGCTATTTTATTTTAATTTGACAGCTGTAAATACTATAATAAATATATATATGTAGGTAAATATTATATTGTATTATATTGTATTTTATAGAATTATTAATATACATATTAATAATATACTCATTTTTTAAGTTTTTTTCAACTTTTAAGTTATTAATCTAAATAAAGTTAGTCATATAAAATTACTATAATACTAATTTATAATTGAGACCATTTAAGCATCAGTTAAACAAAAATCATCATATACCAAATTTATATCTATTAAAATGTATTAGTCTAATTTATAATTGAAAGTAAATTTATAATATAATATAAAATTATATATTTATAATATAAACAAATTTTTTTTTGAAAATGTAACAATTCACATTTTTAAATGTGATAATTTTATCAAAATTCTATTATATGTCCGTGAGTTAATATTAAAATTATTTTTATAAAATCGTGAATGTATTTGAAAATTATATAAACGTATAACTTTTCTTTTTTATTAAATTAAACCTACAGTTTCTTAATTTTAATAAATTTAGTATTTTACGTACGTCGATTCGATCAAATAATACCTATTTTCATTTTTCCAAACAATTTAACATCTGTGTGTATAATTTGGAACAACTAATTTTGCAAAAAGTTCATTATATCCTTATTCACATTTAAGTTTTCTATTAAAAATTGGAAGTTTCCATTAAAATTTATTAATAACATAAGTTTTAAGAAAAATTTCAATTAAATACAAAATAGAAAAGAAGTAAAAAAATTGAAAAAGATAAGGATACAGTTTAATAAGCAAAAGATTTTACTAAAAAAAATACATATTCGAAAGTTACTATAAATTACCAAATTCCTTCGGGAAAGGATTGCAGATAGTGATACTGTAATTGCCATTTATAGCTTCAGATGATATGTGAGAGAAGAGCACCGAGGGCATAGCTAGTATACTTGCCAGTATCCAAATTAAACTCACAGTTAAGATCGTCAACGGTTTGGGTGACATTCCCGCTATGTGTCGCCGAATTGGATTTACAATAGCATAGTATCTGAAAGTTTACTCTAATTATTTTTTTTATCTTTATTCAATTAACAAGTCTATTGAAAATGTAGCCAATCAATTTAACATTAACTATCAATTTATAAAGTTGTATTCATAATTTTGTTCAGAATATTACTTATTCCTTACAAAGTACAAATTAATTTAATCTCTTGGTATATAAAAATAGAGAAATTTATTAAAGATAAACCAAAAATTTTGTTAATTAGAAGTATTTCTTTTTTAATTCTTCAAACACGTTATTTTCAAGTATTAAAGATTATATTTTAAATCGAACATTTTCGTTGTATATATAAATACGTTATAAATGAATTATTATTTTCATACAAATTCAATATTCTTTATAATATATGTGTTCAGGATTGAACTACCCAACAACAACAAAAATTTATTGTTTATTATAATATTATTCCGATACATTATATCTACATTAAAGCGTAATATTTGAATTATTCCTTACGAAAATTCTCGTTGAAATTCAAGCCTTATGCTATATCCGCATAGCACCAAAAGAAGATTCTCGAACGTACTAAAGTTTGCCTTCCGAGAATTCACCAAAGCTTCCAAGAATTACAACGATAAATGTACGCAATCATATATAAGGAGTAATGAACGGCGAAGAAAATAAGTCTTATTGAGTAAGTCAAGTGAAATTAGTGGTAGTCGTACCAGTGCACGTTATACACGTCTAAGGGAATCCGTGCAAGGTATACTCATTATTTAAATTATTTATTCTATATTGCGAGCCAGCTATCGGTGCGTCCTTCGCAAAATGACAATACAGGCCGCCTTGAAGGCGACATCATAGACTGGCATCTCTAGCAAGCTACTTATCATTATTTATTGTTATTACGACATATCGCCGACATTATCGGTCAGGCCTCTGCAACTTGATTATTATCAGACCGCTGAAGAAGGCGCCGATACTGTCTGGTCACACTCATTACTGCGGCACAGCGTCGATATTATCGGTCAGGCCTCTGCAACTTGATTCTTGTCAGACCGCTGAAGAGGGCGCCGATAATGTTTAATATTCCCCACCAATTCATTTCTTGAGATTCACCACTAACAATCGCCGAATAATGCAGCCACGGATTCGCGACTCTTGCTATTCTCTCCCATAAATAATAACTCAAAACGCGTACCCAATACTATGAACACAGTCCTAGCCTTGTACTCCCCGACGACGTTCTATATTTTATGGTCAACTGTTAATTCACGACGAGCTCAACAATTCTCATAACGATCGGTAACAACAACAACAACCTATGTAACAACACCTTAAATAAAAGACACTAAAACCAATTGCGTTTACACTGAATTCATTCATTAGCCCCCCCCCATCGATATTAAACCGGTGGTAAGGTGTAATCCATCCACCTTGATATATAAATTTTTTAATTTTATTTATATATAAATATTTTATTTTAATATATTTACTGCATATTAAATCACATGGGTAGACAGATAAAGTATATTTTATTAACAATTAAAATGATAAAGTATAAGTCATAAATGTGGTAAAAAGTACTTTTGCCAACATAAATTTTTCTATAAAATTAATTTAATTACAATAATACTAAAGTACCGGTAGGTATCATAAAAATATAAATTATATTTGCTTACGTTTTAATATCTTATAATACATAACTGTGCAAAAATAATGGATAACCGAAATAAATAAATATATATGTATGTAATATATATCTATATCTATATATATATATATATATATATATAGATATATGTAATTCTTGTATAATATATAATGAAATATACGATAAAATACATTAAAATATAACATGTTATAATTTGATATTGTAACTGGTAAAAGATAATAAAAAAATATGAAATATTTTAATTATGTATTATAATAAAATGATTCACCTTTCAGCTGATAATGCAGTGAGAGTAAATACCGACACACCTATGGAAATATCCTTAACGCATTCAGATAATTTACAAACAGTGAGACCCCAAGGCCAAGATTCAATCGTGTAGAGTATTGACGTAAACGGAACACAGGTCAAGATTACCTACAGTAGTTAATATACATAAAGAATATTTACATATAAAATAATTAAAACCCTAAATCAACAGAATAATTTATAAAAGATATGTGCATTAAAATTTGTTATGTTATATATTATATAACACATATTATATAACATATATTATATATTACACAATTTACCAATTTATTAGTAAAAAAAAGCTGCAAACAATCAAATAAATTTATATAATGACATTATATAAATATGTTTTACATCGCCTTAAGTACATTTTAAAATTAAACATAAATCAAATGTGTACATTCGAGAAATCACGATTACTGCGATTTGACGAACTTCTAAATATGCATTACAATTAATATATACGTGAAAGCTAAGAAAAATTACTTTATTTCATTAGATAACTGAGTATTTATTAATTTATTTTTAAATAAAAGTTATCAATACCTAATAAAATTACACAAATTTTATATTTAGAAATAATTTTAACAATTAGATAAAATTTCTGACATTTTTATTTGTATATATATAAATAATATATAAATAGATATATAAATAACTTTTAACTAAATTTATATTTCAGTTTCAATGATATTTTTGTTGTAAAAATATTTTAAATACATAAATAATTAAACAATTATTAATTGTAATAGTGCTTTAATATATTATTACGTAAGTAAACAGAACCAAAATTTAAATCTCTGTCACTCCTTTTATTCTGTTTTTTTTTTTAAGGAAAATTGAGAAGTACTTTAATAATGCTGAAGTGACATATTGCACGTATATTAATGCATTCGAATGTATGTGCTTCTCTCTCTCTCTCTCTCTCTCTCTCTCTCTCTCTCTTTATATATTTATTTATATTTTAACTATACAAATATAAATTATTAATTTTTTTGTATATAATTTAAATTTTAAATAATACATTTTAATAATTCTTACCGTATTGTTCAATAGAATATAATCAAATTTATTTATTGATCTTATAAAAAAATAAGTTATTTGCTGTTTCAGGCTACTTCATAATTTATGCAGATTAATTATTAGATCTAAACTCACAGCTACGGAATAAACTATGGCTGTTTTATTATTATATTTCAGGTTTAGTCTGATAGCCCATGTTGGGAAATAAGAATAAAGATTATCGATGTATATAGTTATGGTAATTTTACAGTATTAGTATACATAATTCTAATTTGCAGATAATTATATATTTTTTAAACAAATATTTTTATTAGTCTATTAGGTGTATATTTAAATTGTAATTTTACTTGATGGAATAAACAAATTTCATTTACTTTTTTAAATTTAAAGAGTTAGATAATTTAATGGTAAGATTTTTATTGTTTGTTTTTAAATAAAAATTTCTCATTTGGTCAATAAATGATTTAATTAAAAAGTAATTATTTTTTAATGAATGATTTAATTAAAAATTAATTTTTTTTTAATGAACACAAATAAAAATTTTAAAACGTTTATTGTATTATTTCTTTTGAAAAATTTAATATGGAATATAAAGTTTAAAAATAATTTTAATCTGAGAATTCTATTAAATTAAAAATGGAAGACAAAATGAAAGAGAGACAAGGATAGAAGGGGGAGAAAGAAAAGAAACAACAAATTAGAAATTCTTTTTTTTCTTTTCAAATTTTTTTTATTATCTATAACTATAATATTGATATAATATTTCTTGTTTGATTTATTAAGCGAGAATATATTTAATGAAAAAATAATTATATTATTACAAAATTTGACCATTTATTGCAACAAAACAATTTAACACAAATTAAGAATTAAAATATTCTCATTATTTTTATCTTATTGTATCAAAATCTATTTCAATATTCTTTACTTTTTTACAACAGTAGAATGGAAAAATAAAGAATGAAAAACTATTTGTTAATGTTGTGTGATATTTTTCAAAGTATAGTATACGTAGAATAAAGCAGTATATAAAGTTGCTTGAAACATAGATTGCAGCTATTTATAAAACTATTATAAGTATTTTAAGACATATGATAATTATTTAAGTTTTAAAAGGAATAACGTAAAAAACAAAAAACAAATAATAAATAACTGTTTCTGTGAAAATCTTGTTATAGTGTTAATTATGTTATGCAAAAATGTTTTAATGTAAAAATTATTCATAAAACCATTATTAAAATTAATTTTAATATCATAATTTTATAGAATTATTATAACATTAATACAATATTATATTAATAATACAATATTTTAATATTACTAATTTTATAATTTATATATTACCAAAAGGTCTCCCATAGCTAACGAAAGAACGTATGTGTTTGGAATATTCCTCATATTTGCATTTCGTAATAACATGAAGATTAGTACTCCATTACCGGCGATACCAACCACCAAAATCAAGAAAAATAGTATTGGTACAATATATGTTTCTGGTCGTTCATTATAAGGAATATATTGTTCATCTTCATTTACTTCTTTTAAACTGTATTGTTTTGATAAATTTAGATATCGAGTCATATTACTCATCTAAAACATAATTGAAGTGTTTAATAGAAACTTAATTACATATGATCTTTAATATATTTTTTAATAAAAGTAATTAAAAGCATAATAAAACTAATTAAAAATATAATTCATTACAATATTATATACATTTTTTCTTGTATTACATATTTTATATATTTAAAAAATTTAGTTTAAACTGCTCTCTTTATTATCTTCTATTAACAGTAATATATTATATAAGTACTTTCAAAGTCATATATAGAACACAAAATTTGAAACCTTGAAATTTTTAATTTTCATAGACTTAGAAAATCAACTTTCTTAATACTTTCTTACTATAAAGTTTGATTAGAAGATATTATGCAGAAAATGTATAAATTTGTTAAGATTAATATTGACTTAACAAAAATATTTTCCAAAAAGTGATAAAATATAAATTTTTTAAATAATTATTTCTATTGTTATTTTAATGTGTTTTCTATCCAATTAATCAAATATTTATGCCTTTTTAACAACAATACAAGTTATACAATAAATTTATGAAATTACTCACGCATACGTACATGTAGAGCTGTACGCGCGGATACACATTTTCATATACAAATAATATTTTATTGAGTGTCATTCCTTACAATATATTTATTACAAACAAATATAAAAATAGAAGAAGAATTTCTTTATAAATAAGGTATATCTGAATTAAATTATAATGTAAAAAGAAAAATCTAAATTAAAATCAAATGATAAAATATTTGTTCCCCATAAAATTACATCATTACAATGAAAGTACTAAAAAACATAAAATGAGACATTTTCCTAGCTGATTCAGTTAATTGGAATAATTTTTTTTTAAGAATATGACCTACAACCACCTTCCAGCTATCGAGGAATACATCTTCAAAATGGAAAAGTATCTTTCATTTATAGTATAAAATTCTAATACATGGAAATGTAGTGTATAATTACTTAATAAAAAATTATTTTAATATAATCTTCAAAGTCTATTAATTTTCATTTTATTGTCCTGATATCTATCATTTTTATTTTATCGTGATAAAATGTATGGGAAACAGTTTCTTGAGTAGAGAATTCTTTCTTAATTCAACCCTTTCTTCGGCTCTAAAATCTATCTTAAAAATTATGTAATCCGTATTTGTCAATATATTTGAATAACATGTACACTTATTGATATACTTTTTTACTACCTGTTTTATAAAATATTTTTGTTATTTTTTATGTACCATACTGTAAGATAAATTATTAATAATTTAACTTTAATATATATTTCATGTTGTAAATATTAAAAATGATTATGCATTTGTTCGCATTTTCATATTTTTAAAATTAATCATCTTTCAATATAGTGGGGACATATATTTACAATAAGATTTTATAAATATTTATAAAGTAATTCTTATTTCATATTAGTTTATAAAATTATAAATCACCGTTTTTTAATATTATAATAACGAAATTATTCTTTTCAATAATTTCTAAAAGTTAAGAAGACTAGGTAGATATAAAATCGATCTTATAAATTGCATTTTTTAATAAGAAAATTCTTCTTATAATATCGCTGAGTTTATATCGAAATTCTTAGAATACTCTATATGGAAGCAATGATAATAAAATAATCCATAAATTTTCGATTATAAATAACAATTTCAAACGCATACTTTTACAATTATATTGTTTTACTATCGTATTCTAATTTTTTAATACAACCTCGGGTTTATGTAAAAATATAAAATGTACATTTAATTGTTACATTTTAGAATGGTTCAAATTTTATTATATATATATATATATATATATATATATATATATAAATTACCATTTTTGTACAATAATTATATGATTATTAATTCTATTTTCTTGGAATCCATGGCGTATGATAATTGATATATGAAAAATGGTACATACGATTTAAAGATAAATTTTTAAATCATAAAAATTTCCAAATATAAGAAAAATATATCTTATGTTATAATCACCATTCACGTGCTTATTATTAAATATTCTAAACAACAGTACATCTTAATTTCCTTATTTTTGAAATGGAAAATATCTAGAAATTATACGATAAATATAATAGAAAAAAGAGAATTATTAAAACTGAATGATTATAAAAACAAATTCAAATGAAAAAAGTAAAAATAAATAATAAATAATTTGTATACGAATATATGTGTTACAAAATATTATATGAAATTAATTAATATATATGAAAGAAAAAATAAAAATAAAATAATTTTTTTTAAATATTTATAAAATAAAATAAATATAATAAATACAAAAATTAATTAAAATGAAATTATGGTAAGTAAATTCAATGTAATAAATTAATATCTAACTTCTAACTAATTCAAAATAATTAATAAAGATATGTATAGAAATATATAACATAAAATATAAATAGCATTTGGTGAAAAATAAATATTAGATTAATCAACAAAATAAATAAAAATAAATTTAAAAAATATAATTAAAAAAATATATATATCATGAAAATAAATATTTATAATTGAAAAAAATTGAAAAAATAAAAAAAGAAATTTTAATATTCTTCATTAAAATGGCAATAAAGTAAACTATACGATCATGAAACTGTTTTAAATATGTATTAAATATATATTAAATAAAACTGTATTAAATCTAATTTTATTTCTTTAAATGAGAAAATTTTTAATAATTGTTCCTAATGTGTGATAACACATAGTACAACACATAGTTATAACATATAGTAGTGGAAGGCCGTTTAAAATATAAAAAAATACTTAGTAATATATGAAATAAAAAACAGTAGTTAATGTCGTTAGTAAATTACAAATTCATTAATAATTAATATTTTCATTTTAATACTTCCTATGATCATTTGATGTTTTTTTTAAATAAATTTATACATTTTTTCATTTATATTTGTTTATCTTTTTACCTTGCATTTTTCAGCCATTGATATTTAATATTCATTCATGTGGGTAGCCACTGTCTATCGTACATTTTTTCAATTTAAACTTTACTGAGTAATTTTAATATTTTTGTATCGTGCATTTTTACAATATATTTTTTGCTAATTGCTTTTAATTTTATTGACTCTTATATATTGATGATATTGTAAAATCATGGAAATTATTAAATGGTTATGTATTATTAAAATTATTTATATAACTTGAAAAACTTACTATTTTCTTGCTGCTTTTCAATTAATATCGTTTCATATTGTTACTTTGAATTTAACACTACTTGTCAGTGACTACCTCCTAGCCTTCTTAATAGTTTCTAACTTTTCTTAGAAGCTTTCTTCTACTTTTATCCACTTTTTAAGGGTTTCACTCCTCTCACGCATATATTTCTCTGTCTCCTTTTCCGGAACTGCAGTATATATATCGCGTTTAAAGCAACAGTCTTTTAAATGTAAGTTTGTGCAAAATATTTAATAATATATAAATCCATTACAATTACAAACTGTTTTATTTTAATTTTTAAATAAAAATTATGGACTTGAATAATATTGGAAAATATTCCTCAAAAGGTTTAAAATTTCTTTTCAATTAAATTAAAGTTCTAACAAATAAATTTTCTATTAGAGCTATAATAAAATGATTATCTTTCTTTAGAAAATCAGATTATTTAAAATTTTTTAAATTCTTTAAAAAAAATTAATTTCACTTGAAAAGTTAATGAAAATTACATATTTAATATCTGTGAATTTAAAACCACACAAACAATGCTTAGCGTAATTTTATCATCGCTTATTTCTCATCACATAAGTAGATATATGTCAAGATACAAGCATCATTACATTTGTTTTAGAATATTTCTTTATATATATTTATAAATATAATTACAAATAGACATAAATATTATAAATTCTAAACGATTTTGTCTCAATTAATGATTAATAAATTGTAATTATCTAGCGTATTATTTTAAATTTTTTATCAAGGAATATTATTAGTATTTAAATAAAAGATCCATTTATGACATTTAGTGTTGATAAATAACTATTAAAAAAAAAACAAAACATTTTAAATAGTTTAAAAATTAATTTAGTAATAAGTAATAAATTAGTAATAATTTCCTACATTAAACTCAAATCGTACATAATTCTTTATGAGCCATTTCTCTCTTTTAATAATAATACTATATAATATTTTTAATAATTAAAAATTAAAAATTAAAAAATTTAATTAATATGTACACTAATATTTCAATAATATTCTCAATATGTTAAACATCAGGTTTATAGCATCTCAAGGTGAAATTCAACTAGATTCAGTTTTTTTTATGACCTTAACTCAGCATCATATATTTTAACAGTTTAAAATTTGAAAAGAAAACGGCAGTAGTTTTGAACAATAATCTATAATAGCTACTTAATCAAAATTGCTTTTTTTTATTTGGAATTTTTCTGTATGCATTTTGTTTCTAAAATAGAAGTCGGATAAAATTTTTTTTAATATAATAAACTTATGTATTTATTATGGAACTTATATTAACATCGATTATAGTTTCATAGCAAATACTTTACTAAAAAAATAAGTAGATAGCAATACAGACTTTTTTTATAAATTATGTATATTAAATTACAATCAATAACAAAATATTTTATGTATTACTTGTAAATATTCAAAATATCCCAAAATTAATGATATTTGCTATTTTCTATAAGAAAAGAGAAATTAAATATGGAATTATACAATTGAAGGTAAAATATTTATTTTAAAATAGTAATTGTAAAAATTACTATTTTTAAATTAATTAATGATAATTAAAATTTCTATATATTTTGTTGTTTTGTTGATTTAACTTTTATATACTTTTACTTTAATATATTTACAATATGTTTTACACCAATTATGTAGCTTATTATTATATAGATGTAAGGCAAATTTTAATAGTGTTCAATGTATTGTTATAAAATTTATTTATTACCATTGTAAATATATATTACTTAAGAAGCTAATACTAGAAATTCGGCAAATGACACTCCTTTCGTTTACTTTGAAATTGTCAAAAAA